ACGCACACACACACACACACACACACACAGACAACCTCTTCTCAATATGCGTTTTTGCAATTTACATATATGCAAAAGCGCATAAAAATGAACAAATTCCGTTTAGCGATCGTCCTTTGAAAATTACCTAACGGTTCAATAAGTAATATTGCCGCCAAAAATTTAACTGTCCGTGCACGAGAACCACGCATACCTGAAGGACCGGATTTGGAATCTTTAAGTTGTATTTGGACAGGGAATATTTTCATAAAATTTTAGCTTTCCAGCTTTTTTGATTTCGGAGCTATCAGCTTTCCCGCCAAAAATTTCATATGCTCGTACGTGAGAACCACGCATGCCTGAAGGCTGAATTTTAAATCTTCAAATTGTACGTGGATAAGGAACATCACCTTAAAATTTCAGTCCTCTAGTTAGCAATCTTTTTCGCCAAATTTTTCACGTGCTCGTACGTGAGAACCACGAACATCTAGGGGCTGAATTTAAAATCTTTGGCTCACACATGGAAAAGTTCCAGGTCTCTAGCTTAGCTAGTTCCCGAGATCGCTTTCTCACCAAAAAATTTGCATGTTCTTTGAAGCTGCACGCGAATAATAATATGAAGGTGAGAGGGTCGTACACAGTGTGGGCACATGCTCGCGAAGTTTCAGCGTTCTAGCTTTTCTGGTTCTCGAGTTGAAAGTGGCTGACAAAAACTGCGGAATGTATACACACACACACACACACACACACACCCACACATACACACAGATAGCCTCTTGCCAATATGCGTTTCTGCATTTGCATATATTGCATTTATTTAAAAAACAAAAGGAAATTTGAGCCGTTTTTCTCACCAGGCTTCAGATTACTGGCAAGACGTGCTAAGATTACACTGATGAATTTTGTCCATTAAAATATGGTTATGAAATTTACTGAGAATGGAGCCTGCCAAATGAAATAGAAACCGAGAGCAGGCATTATTACATAGGGGAAGGAAACTTTTCACGAATTTTAAATAAGGCATTCTGCGTAACTTTTGGAAAGCACAATAAAGAGGAGTTTCTGGTTTACTTTTCAGTGAAAACAAGTTTTGCCGACTCTGTCAATTTAAATAAGAACACTGTTTGGAAAAAGCAGTCTTTTCTCATTTTGTCTTTGCTGCTATAATTATCTTACCAGACTGCTACAATCACCTAATGGTGCGGATTAACTTACAAGCCACAGGCTGCGATCCATCTTGAACTTTATATGACGATTCACCATTTCCCTAGCATATGCTTTGAATGTATCCGGATCGTCATATGTGTTTACAACAACTCTGGTGGCTAGCAAAATCCGCTGCCCTGAAAATTTTTTGGTTTGAAAAGTCACGGTTTGAGCTCTTCGTAAAAAATCTGACGGGACAGCTGCGAGAATTGATGAAGGACTTAGTTAATACTGGATTGTAAATGTATTTTCGTTGCATATTGAACTTCTAACTACCAAATTTTCACCTTGTTTTGCGAAGCGCTCACTATTTTGTACATCTTCTGGAGTGAAATTCTCTGCACCTTTGAAATACTTGCGCAAATCCGAATGATACCCGAACATGCTGGAAAAAAATCAGTTATTTTAGTCAATAAAGTGAAGCTGGAATGGTAAAAAAGGCGCTAAAGTCAAAATTAACGTCACTCGTCGCTTCATAAGTCTACTCAGCTGAAGAATTGAGAAATTAGAAGTATCCGAATCGCGGAACATGGACAAAAGTAACCGATAGCTGTCTCCTTTGCGAACGCTGCTCAAAAGCACTGCGGTGGCTGCATATAGCAGTTGCGATTTACCATTGGAAGAAATGAACAGACCTCAGAAGACTCCCTCACTTACTGATGACTGCCTACTTGAGCTTGAGAGTGGCGTTGCATTAAGCCAACTAAGTCTTCAGTTCAACGAACTATTTGTAGAAATTTATGCCATGCTGTATTGCTGTTTCGTCAGTACCAACTCGACCCGCTTCGTTCAGCGTATTCATACATCTCGTCTTCAGTTCTGTTCGCGACATCCTGCTATAATTCAAAAATTTACCCACATATACCGATATTTCTTATTAAAATACTTTTACTTGATGCGTTCTCCAGTCCTAATTAAATCTACACCAAACTTTTTGCTTTCTCCACCTCCTCTTGACTCAGTAATTTGAGCACTTTTCTCGATTTCTTATGTCCATTGTTCTCCAGATTTTAGGTAGCAAATAAACCACTACCTTTGCCAACGTTTTGCTTCCTGCTCCGATTTTTTTTCGCGCACATTATTAATGTCCCAAAACCTGTCCTCTTTTTGTGAAAGCAATAAAAATTACACAGTTTTTGGCTTGTTTGCTTTATAAACATTCTAAGACAATTTGTTTTGAGTAACAGCTGGGAATTCATCACTTTCCAAAAAAAACTTTTGAAGAGCAATGATCTGTCACTATCATAAATCAGCAGTGCGGTTGGCCGTCTTATAAGTGATCACTAATTCCGTTGCAAAGCAATCCATCCGACGAAGCAAATTTTGTGTTTTCTGGGAAACAACTTTTTGGAGCGAAAGTGTTACTGCAGACTGATAAATACTCTTCTGGACGCACTGTATTAAAGAAACCCATGATGGGCGGTAAAATTTGTATTTAACGAAAAAATTCATGCATGATCTGTGTCTCTAAAAACCAAATTGAAACGCACCAGGCTTACTGGTATGATCATGCGATTTTGCTCTAAACATGAACTAGTCAGGTCATTAACTGTATGGATGTTTGTTTTTACTCATCAGTGTAAGTCATCATAAACTTTTTATATATGGAAAATGAAAAATTTCCATTGAACGGGCTCCATCGAAACCGCCGGCGACGCGTACCACGCGGACCCGCGCGATCTTGCATTTTTGCAGTATTTCGTTCTGTAGTAAAACCGCTTGGAGTCCCAGTAGATAAAAATTGTGACATACTGGTCCTAAAATTCCAGTTTCCTAACTTTTCTAGCCTCCGAGTTGGCAATTTTCTCGCCAAAAATTTTCACGAGCCCGCACCTGACAACTGTGCAAATCAGGAGGCTGAATTTGATATCTTTAAGATCTACGCAGACGAGGGTTATCTCCTCAAAACCTCAGCTTTCCAGCTTTTCTGGCCTCCGAGTTAGCAGTTTCCTTCCCAGAATTTTCACATGCTCGCACGTAGGGCTTAGATGCCCGTGAAGACTGACATCACATTCCTGGTGTAGTGCTTCGCCAGCGAACACACTGGCAAAATTTCAGTGTCAAAAGTTGCTTGGTTACCGAGCTGAATTGTCTGGATAGACGCACAAACACATACATACATACATACATACATACATACATACATACATACATACATACATACATACA